AATGCAGAAAGCTATGTACAGGTGATACAAACCTATTGAACATAGTTTGTAAAAGTTTCTGACCTCTGACCTCTCAGACACCTTGCACAAAAAGGTTTGGCTAACTTGTATAATGTAATTTTGTTACCAAATGAAGTTACTAATTAATGCTAAATGTGCAGAAGTTACTTCAATGAAGCTTATTGTATTATTAAGTATTATCTAAACGGGAACTTAAGGCTCCAGATGTCTTACTGGGGGACGACTGCGTGTGCAAGATGTCTCCTATATACTGTATTATTAAGTATTGTTATTAAATGGGGAATGTAAATAGTTGTTGTTATGATGTTTGCATGTTAAATGTATGTAAGAGGACTCCAGGATAAGTAGTGGTGTATTGTCACTAATTGGAGGTTCCTGAAATAAACAAACAAACAAACAAACAATGGAACATGACTCACCGACGGTCTCAGGCACTGACCGCCAGGAATCTGTGACCCACCCCTAGGCCATGACGTCACACGTTCCTTAGATCAGCACCAATAGGAAAGCAGCCAAAAAGGAACCCTCGACCAATGAACTTCGGCCTATCTCTTTGTTGTCTCTCTTAGAAAAGCTTGCAGACAGCCTTGTCACCCTGTCTTATCTTTGGCTCTTGTCGTCTTGCTAGACGGTCTGCAGTCTTAAGTCTTATACTCTTCCACAAATCCACTGCCTTAAGAGCAGATCCACTATTCACAGTTTAGTAGAATTGACTAATGAGATTTTCAAGGCCACTCACAGTCCATGCACAGTGTTCACACTCACAATCAAGCTTTTCCATAATCTCGCCATCCTTAGATTAATATCGGGCTGCCACCTCCGAAGAGTTGGGTCGCTATCTTCCTGACAGGCGCCAGATGGTCTGGTATTACGGATCCCCGAACGTTTGTTTCACTCTAACAGCTTATCAATCTGATATGTATGTGCATCTTTTCTGACGTGTTTTCGTAACCAACTTTGACAGAGTTGGAGACTGCATATGTACTACGTTGTATAGCTAGCTATTTCGAAATATGTTATTGTCGACATGTCACATGGCACCAATTTAAACTGCTAGCATGCTCTTAACGTTCTTACAAACTTTCAGATGAATCCATTCCCGTACATGCCCCCATGACTACCTAATGCATCAAAGTACGGCTGTGTCGTCTGGTAACCCTCACTCTACTGGCACCCACATGCAGTGTTTAGGCTAAGTAGAGTTCAATTCAAGATATTAATGGTTCACACTTGAAGCGTACCATACTAAATGGCTACGACGACAACAAAGTGTTATGGGTTATCCGGGTCACATATTTGTGAGTTCGTCTAAATGTACTTTTAATGCTACATCAGGAGTAGCTTTCAAACTACTGTTACTAGTGGCGTGGTAGTGCACAAAATAGGTAGGCGTTCCAAAAAATGTTACTGTTACTCTTGCCAAACTCATGAAAAAGTTGTATGATGGCTCAAAGTAACCTCACCTAATTGAGCTTGACTGGGTTGGGCGCCAGCCTTCCGACTCAAGTGCAATATGTGATGATGAACGAGACGCAGTGAACTACAGTGACTTCATCTTCAACTATAATAAAAACATCTTCAGATTGCAGAGAGTGACTCCCACATACATGTGTAATAAAGACGTTTCAAGTCTTCGGAATGATTTTGTCTGCACAAGAGACGTGACTGGAATATCACGGTGTAACATACACTGCAGAATCTCATCTCCGCTGGTTTGGCACACGGATCCATTCAAGGAATGGAGCGAAACTACATATTACGCCTATTATATATATCGACATGTTATTTCCTTCAATATATACCGGACGAATCGAGGTGGTACAGTGCGCCCTGTTTTTTTAGCGAAGTTTAGGGGAAGGTACATTTTACAGAGAGAAGTAACCGGTATACATCCAGAAAACGCACACTAGAACAAAACTAGGAAAGACGTTGGAGTCAGAAGCTGTTTTAGAAATTACACTGAGCAGCAGAACACAATTCGGCATTCTTCGAAAATGTTTATTTCTAATGAAAGAACGTCTGAAGCAATTAAATGTATAAACTTTCCAAATTTGACATCATTCGCACTACTCCCATTAGTTGTTTACTTTCCGTTGGATGGTTCACCGTTACGGGGTTGAGATCTGCAGCAGAGGAAATAATTGAGCAGAATGAAAGAGACTCTAGGATAAGACATCGTACTCAAAGGGCTTGGATACATGAATGCCTTCTTACTCGCCAATAATGATCCAAGTCTTCGGGTTGGTGAGCATCAGCGCTCCATTACACATGGAGATTGGATTGATTAGATGGCCGAAAACCAGCATGACTTGTGTAACTCTTAGATAACGTATTATGCAATGCACTGTAGCTTGCTTGTAAAGACTATTTGCAGATCTGATTTCATATTGGTATCTAATAAACATTGCAAATGAACACATGGTTTCCTTGCATTCAATATCTTCTTATGAATCGTTATCTAACTTTCTGATTTACTAGTTTGAGAAGATTCAAAGGTTCTTGTTCCGTGTCCACGTCTTGCGTTGATGACCTTGGTCAAGGGCACCACAAATGGGATCCATTACTCACAAGCTTGAACAACAAAGTCGTAATATGAAGTGGATAACCCACAGAAAACGTGAAAGCAGTTGGCCCTGCTTCAAGCACGATTGGGAAACAATTTGGAGGCAGATCAAAAGATCATGTCTGTTGAAATGAACCACGTTCCTCCGGGGGCTCACGTGGCAATCAAAACAATGCGAGTCTCTGGTGAGGACTTTGGATGCTTATACACCAAAATAGGTACTCAAGAGACTGGGGATGATTTTGGAAACGGTCTGATGTTTCAGGTAGCATCCACTACCTTTCGTCAGTGACACTGGTGAGATATTGATCAAGTTCAACAGGTTTATAACCATTCTGCTGCTTATGATGGTTACACAGTCTGTATGTATCTGACATCAATCACAAGATCAGCTATTGCTCTGGAAAAATCATAATTTGACAACCGACGGTAGCTGCCGTGATGAAATCACTGATCTATTATACAAGATCAGAAAAGAGACGTCTGGTGGTCTTTATTAGCAGCTGATGTAATTGCATTTGACAAGGAACAACACGATGTTGTGTTTTTCCTATCTTTAGTTTTCATCCATTGGCATAGAGCCATAACATAGAGCGAAGCCCTAATATGCAGTTCATCATCTGGCACCATATACAAAAGCGCTACCTACCAGTCTACACCTAAACAGCATCACAGATATGGAGGACAGTTATCTGACATATGATAACTGGAATGAAATGACAAAGTAGTGCCACCTTGCGACAAGCTAGCAGTAATGACATGGGTTCTAACCGAATGCTACCGTGGCCGACAAGTACAAAATTTTACACCGCAACTTTTGGTGTTTTACACCGCAACTTTTGGTGTTTTACACTGCAACTTTGGGTGTTTTACACTGCAACTTTGTCTGTGTTTTACACTGCAACTTTTGCTGTGTTTTACACTGCAACTTTTGCTGTGTTTTACACTGCAACTTTTGGTGTTTTACACTGCAACTTTTGGTGTTTTACAATGCAACTTTTGCTGTGTTTTATACTGCAACTTTTGCTGTGTGGAAAACTTACACCCCTCCCCTTTTATAATGGACGGTCCCCCTGTCAGGTCAAAGGTGACAAAGATGGCAAAGAAGTCACAAGCTGACGTCTAGGGACATTAAAATGAAGAAAAACGATGTCCATACCCAATAATAATGAACTAACCTGCAGAAAATTTATGTCATTGCTGTTGATGTCTTGAGCTGGATATCTGACGTCCTTGATAAATTTGTTGTGACGCATGGCAGCAAAAAGCAACATAATTTGTAATCACTGGACCTGGTCGAAACATTTTTAAATTTATCCCGATCTATAGGCCAAAGCTAGAAAAACCTTTAGAAAAAAACTAACGTCACAACGTAGCCAAGCTTTTCCTCTAAAAAAACTTATGCACGAAAAGGATAACTCAGTCGACGTAGTTTGCATGCCATCGTTGTCACCTTTGACCTGACAGGGGGACCGTCCATTATAAAAGGGGAGGGGTGTAAGTTTTCCACACAGCAAAAGTTGCAGTGTAAAACACAGCAAAAGTTGCAGTGTAAAACACAGCAAAAGTTGCAGTGTAAAACACAGCAAAAGTTGCAGTGTAAAACACCAAAAGTTGCAGTGTAAAACACCAAAAGTTGCAGTGTAAAACACCAAAAGTTGCAGTGTATAACACCAAAAGTTGCAGTGTAAAACACCAAAAGTTGCGGTGTAAAACACCAAAAGTTGCGGTGTAAAATTTTGTTCTTGTCGGCCACGGTAGAATGCAAAGTAATAAGCACACCGATCTTTAGCTACTTGTACTCATATTGACTGATTGAATAGACCGTTTGTGGTTGTAGATTACGTAAAGTCGGTAGGTTGTTTTATGTACAAATCATGACATGTAATCATTATAATCATGCCCATAAAAGTGTTCTCGAAACGGATACCTGTCATTCCAGATATCATATGCAAGAAGCTGTTCTAGGATGGTGTTTGTGTGCAGACTGGTAGGTAGCGCTTTTGTATGGTGCCAGGTGAAATACGTTATGCAATGCACTCGACGTATGTCCCGAACTAGTCTAGTTGCAGGTCTACAAGATATTAGCTATAGGAAGCCTTTACATACAGCAGAATAAAATATCTCATAAGCCTCGATTCAGATAGACTTGATGGTTTATAAATAGTCGAGAAAAAACTTGTCAGAATCCATGCGGGACACTATTAGCAGAATCCAATGCGGCACTATTAACGGCATCAGAGATTCGATGTCTGAATGCAACGGACTTGCAAAGACAGTGGTTACAGCTTGATGCATAGAGAAATATGTTAATTTAAAAAGAAAACAAGGAGTGGAATGTAATATCAGGAATATTCCACAATGTAACATGAAACTCCTTTTATATAAGATAAAAGATGATGATATTTTTATATTTTTATATCCAGGTGACAGGATTCTCCTCATCCACATCTTCCTCTACCTCATCATCTTCTTTATCTTCTTCCTCCCCTCCTTCTGATGTTTCCACCTCTAGTGCAGATTCGCTCGACTTCCTACGAACGCAAGGCAGCTTAAAACAGCCAACATAATATCCAGAAACGTACGGAGTTAAAAGACTGTTGGAGAACGCTATCCACTGCGATATGGGATGGAAGTACTCATGAATATTCTTGCACGTCGTGTTTGTAAGTTTGGCGTAGGTGTCTAATGCCCAGCAGGTGTAGAACGGCAGCCATGTAATGAGAAAAAGCACCGTGAGTGCTCTTAGCAGGTGTGAACTAACGGCAAGGGTACTACACTGATACGCTGTTTGTTTAGTCTTATCTAGTTCAGACTCCTCAGACCCCGTCGTGTCTGAAACAGGAACGAATGACCGCGACTGTTCCACAGAATGTGTAGCCTGGGAGGGGTGTTCATCGTCTGGTAAGGTGTTCGGGGTATTGGCGCAACTTTCCTCCACGGTGTCAACGGATGGCGTCGGCACCAACATGCTGTAATCCGCCGATAAGACGCTGGGCGGTGACGGCCAATCGGCTCCTGCATGGCCTCGGGGAAAGGCAGTCTTGGAAGAATCACAATTATTGCAGGACGTGCCGGCACAACAGGCGACCGTATTGATGTTTCCAATGTCGTTGATCGAAGAATCAGCCGATAAATCTTTACTAAAAGCTTCCGGGGCGATGAAGTCTCCATTCGTGCCGCCAAAAAGGCGGTTCCTCTCTCCGGGATTTGATCTCCCGTCTGGCGATATTACTGTTTCTTCCAAGCACCGACCTCTGGTGTGACCTCCGGGAATGTTGTTTTCCCCTGTAGTAACGTAAAACGTGGTGGCGTCCTGGTTTTTCTTCAGACCAGGTAACCCGGTAACTCCAACAAGATGTGCAAAGACTATAAAGAGCAGCGGTCCCGGGAAGCCCAGAGCCACGAGCACGCCTTTGTAGAGTAGATACGCCTGGCTGTTGCCCCAGGTCTCCTGGCACCTATACGTCTCGCCGGAGGGGTTCGTTGTCAGAAGCGCATCTCGAGCGAAGGCCTGCGGAATGTTGATGGTGATTGCCATTGACCAGATACAGCAGAGGACGTATGCTATTTTCTTGGTGCTGACGTCTGGGGATCGATGGTCTCGCTGACTGTAACTGTACAGTGGACAAATAAATGTATTAATAGTGGACAAATAAAAGTTACTAGTATTCAGCAGTCATAAAATTTCTAACTGTTATTTGTAACATACAGAAGTATGGCATTTCGAGCATATCTAGGTTATGGACAAATGAAAGCTGTTCACATTATTCTAATATATTGTCTATGACAGTATAATTAATTCAACGTCGACGACAGTATAGTTGTCCCACATCTCTTTAAAAAGCTTAAACGTATAGGCTACTTTAATATTGAAACAGTCATTTACTTTATATCGAAAACTAGAAAAAAATGAGGTTTTTTATCAAGTAATTTGGGCTCTGTGAACAGTTTCAGGCTTGATTAGAAATAATAATAGGACAATATCAATGTGAGTCGATACAGTTTTCATAGTCTTTATTACTTACTTATAAATTAATGATAATTAAAGGGTTGATAATTATGCTACGTAAAAGGCTTTTTGTGAAATGTTTCAAGACCATTTTTTTCAGGATGGCATCTCACTATTTAGCTATCTGTTGCCACAATACAATACAATACAATACAATACAATACAATACAATACAATACAATACAATAGGATAGTAATATGAATGAGGCCATCAGGCGCTTAGTCATGACAAACAGGAGTTAAAAAGACCAGATGGTAGTTAAAAGCTTACATGTGGCTAAGCTGAATCACTCTTGCAATTATCTAACATCATCGAGTGGAATCATACTAGGTTTACGTAAAATTAACAATGCATATACAACAAAAAGCAATGTCCTCATAAATTATACACTTGACATTTGTAAAACACTATTTTAATGAATTTTTCTACGAATTCACCAAAGTTTCAATATGAGCAAGCAGTGGGCAACTTGTAGAAAACACAGGGATTATGTTGTAGTCATCATGTTGTAGTGGTGGTATAGATGAGCTGTAACTTCAGAGAGAGATTTATATGAAACGCTGGTTGACATTGTAAAGAAATTATGAACTAGTGAAAATGTCTTGTCAATATTTTATTTGGTGCAGAGCCATCATAGTCACTTTTATCATGAGGCACAGCGATATAGTAGGATCTAGCCTCCTTTCAATTACCATTAATGGGCCACTAGAACAGAATTAAAAGCCCATGTGAATACTTGACTTGGCTCATTAATCATAATACTGCATCCATAGACCCATGTTTGAATGATAGGTAATTCCCCTCTCTGTAGCTGGCATTGATAGAGACGAGGCTTTTATGTAGCTTTTAGCGTGTATTGTAAAGCGCATACCAAGTATATGGCTCCCATTTGTAAACAATCACCAAAGAGCCTGGGTGCTGCATCAAACAGAGCCGCGTACGGGAGCCATGAATATAAGAGGCGGTGCTGGTGTCTCCATGAGCTATCTCTAGCGCCGTGGGGAAAGATCATTAAGCTGAAAGCTGTGGGGAGTTGTCTATGGATTGACATGAGGATGCTATTGCCCGCTCGTCCATGACCAACTGCCTGATTGTACGGTCGCCGACCACGCCACTTACATTAGAGTGCGCCACTAGAGATGAACACCATCAGCTAAAGGAACAGTCCTACTCTCCAAGCAGAGTTTGATGGGGGAGATTACCTTTTTATATATGGCCCGCTTTTTTTTGTCGCTACACCCACCAACTTGAGTTTCGTATTGGGCCCTCTTTGGCCAATGGATACTGCCTGGCCAATGGATACTGCCTGGCCAATTTGATACTGTCTTTTTGCCACTCTAGCATCTGCTTGGAAATTAGAACTAAAGGAACAGTCCTTCAGCAGGGCCACTTTGATAAGGCGTGTCCCAAGTGAATGCGGCAGCACACTTGATCAGTCGTGCAAGGATCTATTTGTTTTATTCATTTTGCTTATCAATCTAAGTAGTCCCTTGCCGAATAGGGCTGATTTCCAAGGGAGTTTATGGCAGGTAAATAGAATATGAAATTAAGAGGTAAAATGATAACGAGTTGTGATAATGATATGTAGAAGTGATAAGTCGTACAAACAAATCAATTGAACGATCACAACTCAACATCGCGATGTATGGGTGTTGGGTATGATGAAGTTTTGCTATTTTTTCCAATTTAGTGCTATGTTCACGGTCTATTCCTACTTGAATTACCGGCGTGTATTCCTAAGGATAACCATAAGCATGCATTAGATAGACCATACACATGCATTGATAAAAAACATGTACACATGCATAAGTAATCTCCAAGCAGATCCTACGATGGCAGAAGACAGTATCAACTTGGCCAGGCAGGCCATTCGCCAGAGAGGGTCCATACGCCACCCAAGGACCTTCTCTGGCGAATGGATACTTCCTGGCCACTTTGATACTGTCTTTTACCACCCTAGGATCTGCTTGGAGATTAATGTATACGTTACATTACTAAGGATACTGTACGTAAAAAAATCAAGCTAGAGTTAAACTAAGGAACAAACCTTGTAACGACGATGGCAGCCAGAGTGAAGGTTGACCCACAGACCACCACGCCCTCTATCAGTGGAGTCATCCTACAGAGGACCCTGCTCAGGCTCTTGTCTGTAAATGATGTTGGATATCAATCAGTTAAACATGAATCACCAATCTTGCGGTTGCTGTATCAAACAGTATCAAATTTCACAGGCAGTATCCATTAACCAGCTGAGCTGAGGACTCTCTCTCGAGCTCTAGACAGCCAGTTCTAACCGTAACGCTTTTGCCGCCAGACATCTTTTGTGTTACGGTTAAAGCGTTACGGTTAAAGCATCAACTTCATAGATAAAAAAAGTATTAAGCCTTTCCTATAACAGTAATGATAAATGAAAGCTGCATCATGGTTAATACTTCTGATTCTTTCAGATGTAAAAATATGCAGCAACCTTGATATGAAAGCGTCACGTAATCTTTGACAACGTGGCAGGATTGAATCCATTCAAAAACGGGCTTGCCGGACAACCCTTGGCGCCAACTATACATGCTACACTGAGGCCTGTCCGACACCTGAGTTACCAACCCTTGATAGTCGCCGCCGTGAATTGTGCTACAAATTCGCCAGACAAATTCACAAGCTGACTACCATGCACCGCACCATGGCGAGGTGAGCGGGAGACTTCTCAACTCATAGACCCTATCAATACTAGGACTGATAGATACAAAAAAGTCCAATCCCTTACATGGTGTCTTCTAAACAGGTACAAAAATGTAATAGTACCACAAGTTTGACGGACGTGACCGTTACTTCCTTGTAACCCAGGAACTGATTCACGATGACCGTACTTAAATGTTAATAATCATGAATTACATGTACATAAGATATCTTTGTAAATATTTAAATTCATCGAGCCAAAGTGTTTAATCTGCTGTTGTTGGGTTCAATTTGTAGTTTTATGAAATTGTATGTTTTAATGTGTGCCCAGGGATACCTGAAAAGCAGATTAATGGATCTGAGGTATTCCCTGGTGAAATAAATAAACTTGACTTGAAACTTGTTGACACAAATAGACCAATAAACAAAATCAATAATAGTAAATATATAAAATATAATACTTCACACTTCTGCAACATAGTGAAAAATATCTAACAAGTATTTATGTCGACAAGTACTGGTCCTCATACGTATCCAGTATCTAATACGCCATCAGATTTCATGATTGCAAAATTAAAGTTATCTTCCTGTGTTCATCTCTTTTACTCACTCACTCCCTCGTGAATGTGGACACTGACAGTCATCTTCGACTGTAAAGGACTACCACCAGTCTCTTTTATGTCCGCAAATTGTAAAAACCTTTTTGTCGATTATTTACAAAGGGGTGTAATAAAAGCAGCATGATATAATACCCTTCATCAACAGTCAGGTTATGTGTTATTTTATTGTGTCTTCTGGTATTCGCCGTTACAGTCTGGCCTAAGGGGGAGCTTTGAAGTCTGCAGGTTTAGCTGCATATCATCGAGAGGCAATATAGTCTCTGCAGCGTTTCATAGCGTAGGTGTGCTGTTGTAACATCAATTCCACCGTCCCGTATGGACCGAACTGATCTTCTAGATACTCCATCTCGGCAAAGGCGATTTGTCACAGTGTCCGGCATCATCAGCGTGTCTGGTCGCCTGCCGTACATCCTGCCATTGCCGCCTGTGATAACCAGCGTCACGTTTGTTCAGCGTCTCACCAGAAGTGATACAGTGTAACACCCCTCGCTAAATTTATCGATAGCTTGCCCTGCGGTCAGTGTATAAACGAGCAACAGGCGAGGAACGCATCATTAATTCACACCATCAAGATAGAGTTAATCCCAAGTGAAAAATTAGATCATGTTTAGGGCTGATCGCAGCGCTGTCCGATGCCTTAGGCACAATACCTTTCCTTCATGCTCGCTATACTTACGGCAATAATGAACTCATAAATAGCCGTAAAATCCACAGTACAGTGGATTCTGGAAAGTAATATCAACGCCATACATCACAGGCGACCTGCTTGGAATGTTTTGTTGCCCTTGAACGGAAAGCAATCCTGGCTTCTATTGAACAGAGGTGGCTGGGTGGCAGCAGTCAAATGTCAAGTGCATGCAAATACCAACAGAACTCATCCAGCAAGACAGCAATAAAAAGTGGTCATCAAAACTTGCAGAAGGTTTGTAGCTTTGTGATTACTCTGGAGACCAAATGTCTAAAACATGCGCAGAATCTTTTATAGTTAAGGCTAATAAACTGCCCACAGCCGGCAATAAGAGCGCGGCAACACATATAAACTGCTAACATGGGTGCCACTGGTGACACCTCACCGGCAGAGGTCGTATACAATGTTCCTTAGATAAGGTTTGTTGTGCAAAGTGAGTTTACTTCCATTCCAAACACATCACTGACCGTAATGGTACTGTGCAAGGCATAAAAAAGTATATATTATATTCAGGATATACATTTTTCAAAAACATATTCATCATAGATGAACCTACATTTATTTCAAAAGATTATTTGCAATAAGGAGGCCCTACTGATGCTCAAACACCAGCTGTTCGGTCGCCTCCAGTAAGAAAGGTACATGTTATATCAAAACTTGGCAGAGAAGGTTTTATTCATGCCGTAAGCAAGTCAGTAAAGCCACCGGTAATTAGGGTCATAACTAGCTGATAAAGTAGTACGGGTAAGTCTGTTACCAGAAATTCAAATGGGGCCGAATGGAGCGAAGGATTTTAATGTGTAATAGTTAAAAATAATCTTTGCATCAACATAATGATTTCAATGTCTATAATAGTGCGATCTATTCATATGTATCTGTATACTATATTGGCTTTGGAAATGGATCCAGATGGTACTAGACATAATTTTACAACGCATATAAAACTTTGTATCCTCAGCAGATGTTATACGAACATTTATCTTATGCTGATCAGTAAATGTGTTTAGCATATCTACTTCCCTGCAGTGAATTTCAGAGAAAGAGCATCATCTTAAGGGTAAATACAATTTTTCACAATGTTTATGGTTGGTAAACATATGCCTTTATGTAAATCACGCTGTTGTTTTGACGTTGTTTAGTCTGATAACTCTTCTCTACAGCTGGGCCGGATGATAAGGCATTAAATTTTCATATATTTCATGCTCGATGTTGGGAGACGGAGGTTTTTAACTAGCTTAGGAGCAAGCTGGTCTCTTTGATTAATTCATTGTCAAAATGAGTTTCTCGACAATACACACCTCTAATGAGCATCTGTTTAGTATAAAGTGGGGAACTCTACATCGGAATTAAATAGCAGCATTGATCGTCGCAAAATGAGCAGTTTACCTACTGGAGAGCAGCAAATGTAGCATTTTTCAACGTCTTCATTATAACAAATCAAAATAGCTTTTACGACATTGAAAACATAGTTACCTAGATATATAGCTATAGATTTATAGCTATAGATACAGATTTCTGTTTGGGTAGTACCGGCTTAGTTTGAAGAGTATGAAACGCATTAACAACAGATGGGCTGTTTGTTATAGTCGACGGCTGTTGCAGAACCCTAAATACCAGCATTCCTAATTCGGATATGCGCACTATTACCACAAAAAGGGAAAGGACATATTTCTTTTAAAATATATGCTGCCCACACGTTTAATAAAAAGACACAAAAAGGGACAGTAGTGAAAACGACGACAACAGTCCACTGCTTCCAACTACTTTTCAACCTTTCATCTAAAGAGAATTCTTAAAATAGACAAATAGATCTAACTGATTAGTAGTCGCCATGTTTGTCATGCCTCACTTTATTAAAAGATTATAATGGCATAGATAAGGATATACATTTGTAATAGTAGCTACCAATAGGCTAGTTTGTCAAAACGTCGTATTTAACGATTTTGATGCAACGTTTATTTAAAAATCCAGCATTCAGCAATCCGCCAAAGAAACACAACGCCCATCGATGGTCCCCAAAGTTATCTGCATCCTTTTGTAACCTTGGATAGTCCTAGTGAAAAGATATATAACCCGCCCGATACAGCTACAAGATACATCATTACGGAAACCTGTCTACCCACTAAGTTTTCTCCTAATAAACTTTGACTTTTTAATTTGGTTACAGGTGGTAACCTTTAAATCGCTCCGATAAAATAGCGGTTGCCTGATGCAAGTAGAAGTCCAAAGTGACACTTGATAATGGATAAACTAATTAAGTCCCCGATAGGCTGTAGACATCGCGCTGGCACCGTTCTAGAGCAGCCCGCATCCGTCAGATTCCTATTACCCGCGCATGTACACATGCATCTCTGTCAATCTCTGCACGCAGAAAAATAAATCGCGCACGGCCCACTCCCCGAAGAGGCCGTGTATCTCCGTCCTTTACAGATAATCACTTTGTCTGTCGGCAGATTCCTTTGGTGTCGTTGATAGGGTATTATTTAGGGCTGAACTTACTGGACCCTACGACGTTTCTGGGTCAAATCGGCTTCGACGAACATCAGAATTTCCCGAGAGATCAGTGGGTCAGGACGGTGTATTAAAGGCCCATATTAAACAAGCCGTACAACTCCCTTCTGAAGGAAGACGATCACCAATAATGAACTCACAGTTTAAGCTGTTATGTTCTCTATCTGCAATAACAAAAGATAAGAGAATGGACGCAGGAGGTAAGGCCTAGCCAGAGGCAAAAGCAAACGCTTGTAATCTCCATGTTGATTCTGTTGCCTAGCTTATTTACCGTGATTGCGCGTACGCCAAAAGAATGCCACTTTTCAAAAATGAGCGCTAACGTTCAAATTAGCTGAAGTCAATGAAAAATTAGAATCTGGGTTTTGAAAAAAAATTGAAACCATTTCAGCGCAGTTTAGGCCTTAACGACATTCGTCTTTCGGCTATCGTATAATCACACGTTCCTGGAATAGTCCTGAAAGTTCGCAGAACATTCCATTGTCCTGTTGTAGAAAAGATCATCTCAGATCTTTCTTGGAGGTCTGGTCTGTCAAAGACTGCCCTAAGACTGTTCTACGACTGTTCTACGACTGTTCTACGACAATTTTACCATTGTTCTGCGACGTCCTAATCGTGCGACTGCGTACGACGCCTGGACTACAGTGATAGCAGCGTTAATGACAGCCGATGTAGTACAACATGTTGGCCTGGGATCGCCTGTACCCTTGGACAAGGTTATGTTATTGGATGTTGGGTAGAATTACTTCATAAGGAAGGTAAGGAAGGCCATTTGCAGGACCAACAGATCTTGACGGACGGAGGATCGGATGATACTTTCTTCCAACCACCGCCGTGCCCTAGCTTACATCACCTATCCATGAGCAAATACACTTTTATAGGGTCAACGACGTGGCTATCATGTTTAATTCCATTTCATTGGATGGAAGTTAGACTCTACGGTAGTCTACCCTGATTTAAAAAAAAGAAATATAAGAGCAATGAAGAAAAAGAAGAATCGACAAAATTGTGCAATGGTAATAGTAAAAATTTGAATTGATAAGCTTTAGTAAAGTTAATATTTAATCAATGTTAAAAGCTTATTTTATATTTAAGGAAATGATATTGCAACTGATTCTTAAGTACTTAGATGTAGATCAAATTAGTATTTGTAACAAAATGAAGCGAAGCCATTTGCACCCTTTACTTCATTTCGTCTCCGAATTATTTACAGTGTTGTTTCGGTAAACTATATTCGTGGCGTACTGGACTATAAAATTGCAACCAGCTCTCGGGAGTTTATGCATCAATTTTGCACGGTTCGGCCGTATTTCACAGCCGGTAATGCACCTCATGTGATTGTTGTTGCAACCGATGCCCTATAATTCAACTGAATTGCTGTACTGAAAGGCGAGTAAGTGTTTATCCAACTGCGATTGCCACAGAGAAAATCCTCCTTGAAATAGGACATTTTCTAGACTGGATCCAGCTAGAAAGCATTCAATATGCAATTCGGCAGAATATGGTCGCGTTCTTACCGTTTATGCCGGGCTCCCCACGAAGCAATCTTCTAGATCACGCTTGATTGCTTTCTTTTGATAAGATCTGGGAGTAATTTGAGTTTCCCCTTAACCGTGATTCAAAATGCACAATCTTCTGTTGATGAGTTTAATAGCCAATGCCTGCCTACAGCAGGGAATCTCAATGCCTTGGCTGTAGATTAAAAGCATTCATCGTATCTCAATTTTTCTGTCATAATTAAATCACGGTGAATAAGTACGCGATTACCTGACGTGACGTGGTTCGGAATAAAGATCGGGGATCTCACCTTCTTGTGTGTTTCCAACCAGTGTGAACGGAGTGCAGAAGATTCCAATCAGTAAATCAGCAAGTAGAATGTTAAGGACGAAATAATACACCGTTCCCCCTCTCCTCTTCCCCAAGCCGTGAACCATGACTGCCACAGCGATGTCACCGATCAAACAAAGAACGAAGAGTGCGCAGTAGCCCGCTATGAAGAGCCAAGTTCTCAGCGGCAAGTCTGGTAGGAAGACACCGGGAGAAGCGGCAGCAGGGGAGGGTCTGGTCTCGGCGGGAAGGCCGTCCCAAGCCGCGGGAATCGATGATCGGTTGTGGAAACTCAGCGGAGGCGGCAGCGTACTCATCATCCCGGCTATGAAAGTGTAAAGGGTACGGTACACCCGCCACGGTTACGTGAAGATTTTAACTACGTGACAAAAAGTCCCGGTACAAGCCGTCTTCGCGCGATGCAAGGCGACGAAATGAAAAGGAATATGCCACTGCACACGTACGCAGCAGATGCAATATTGAAAAGCAAGTGCATTCTTGTAAAATTGGTTGTTTCCAATGGCAATAAATATTTAATATGCAGTGATGGGTCGTGGCCGCAAGTGATTTCACCGGTATTATCCCCTGAAGAAGGGCGCATAAAGTGCCGCCTTTTATCCTAAACGCCACCGAGGGGTAGAAATTAGGACTACGCCTTGTGAATCATAAAGCCCTACTGGAATGGTCTCCCAGATTAGGATGTTCTCTTTGAAGCGAATCTGCTGGATTCTAGCTGTCACGGCGAGCGATAACACAACTCTCAGAACTGTGGCGAACGGAACATTCTACTACTATGGTTCATACATTGTGTTCGGTCACAATGTAGCCATTCTCTAATTATAGAAAAAAGGAAATCTAGTATGCCTTTTAAGGAATCTCATTTTAAAACATCAGTTACACCTCATGTTTGCTTTAATGTTAAAGTATACCTACTCAATGTACTAGAATGAAATATAAGATGCATAATACACCATTCTCCCAACAGAATTAACTTTGTATATATTCTAGTTTGGAAATTTGTATGATTATTTGTTCTCATTACCTCAAGTTAGATGGTAAGAAGCAGCACATTAATAATTACTGCAGTAATTCGAGGTCATTGCCCATGGCGAATCCTCTAGTATACATTATATAGAAGCCGCTGAGAAGATATTGAAAAGATTTAACTTATGATCGATTTCCATTGAATATTGCAGCACGTACAGGTCATATATCATGATGGCAATCTTAACCAGGTTCTCCAGACGAGATTTTACTTATTCTTCTTCTTTAAGGATTTTGCCTCACGTTGTGTCCTCTAGCATGAAGACACATCGATAATCGAGCACTTTATATTTTGTTTCAATTCTACACGCAAATCCCATTAATTTGGTCGATATTTGGGAATATTAAGAAGAAATACCAATGGTCTTACACACATATCCTTTACCGATTCATCCAATGGCATCGACGAATACACACAGTCATATTTAATCTGAACGATTTCCCAAAACGTCATATCAAACGATTTACCATGTAAGGTAAGGTAAGAGCTCTCAAAAGTATCCAATGGGCGAGATGATATAAAAAATACACGGTTTCACGGCCGCAGTCATCAATCAACGTTACACGCTGATGCGTCTTCAGCCCTGCAGCATCCTTTTATCCTAAATACCGCCGCTTTCTTGATTTCACGGTGAGATTCTCCCTCCGGAAGGACGCCATCTGCCCCGCTAGGACGTGACTATAAACCGGCAACTCAAGCCTACAAAACCGTGGCAGTGGTGGACGTAAATTGTGAACATGAAATCCTTCTACTCAATTAACTAAAGTATTGAACTAGCAAGTATTAAGCAAAGGAAACAGGAGCCGACTACAGTTAGTTAAAATATTATGTGTTCTTTTCTTTCTGGACTTCATTAAAATTTTATTGCTTGTAATGATGTAACACTCGACAGTCACCATTACATCAAATGATAATTACTCACTTAACTGTATTCAGCAAAGCAAACTGGAGTAGACTACATTTAGGATATTATGTGTCTTTTCTTTCTGGACTTCATTAAACTTTTAATGCGTGTAATAATGTAACACTTGACTTGATTTAGGTCCCTAATGACGACTATACAGTCACCATTACATCAAATGATAATTACTCACTTAACAAAAGTATTAAACAAAACAAGCAGGAGCAGACTATATTTAGGATATTATGTGTCTTTTCTTCCTGGACTTCATTAAACTTTTACTGCCTGTAATAATGTAACACTTGACTTGATTTAAGTCACCGTTACATCAAATGATAATTACTGCAGTGTAAATGTATCTGCTTGTCACCTGAAGCGCACAATAGTCTAGACTTGTACCCTTGACTAATTTCATAATAACGCATAATGACACATGATATGCATAGCTGTGTGTACTGTGTCTTTTTATCGACAAGAAAACTAGGTGAGATATGAGAGAAATGGACCGAGGAGTAGACACCGTACCCGCCTAATGATTTCTGAAATGCGCTGGCTATCAGACGATAAGGTCAAAAGTAGAGAGTAGATCCACCAAATGTTACCTACTGAAATATTTCCTTCTTAGTAGAGTCTCACTGCTGTTATATCTTATTACCGATGTCGGCTTGCGTTGAAGGCCCGCAGGGGGAACATATCTTGTGAAAGGCTCTACATGTAATAAATAACGCACCGTCAAGACGGGAAAGTGTCTTATCTTGTCACCTTTCGGCAAGTTTAGACTTTTAGTACTATCCATGGTACTATGCCCAAAAGAAATGCTTGTAAAAATATGGGATGCTTCCGTTTTTCAAGTAGTGCGATGTCAGATTCAATATTCCTTGCTCATGAATCATGATCTTTTGAAGTATTTATTTGTTTATATCTGACAAAAAGAAACTTATTCAGCTCATCATTTTTTCGGGTATTATCTCTAATTATTATTGTGTAATTTCATGTGTCTGTTGGGGAGTCGGCCTCGGAGAGGAACATACTGTTCCTGTTGCCGTCTCCCCTCAGAATTTTAACTTCTATGAAGTGGAATTCTGTGAAGCGGAATAAATAAAAAATAAAATAAAAAATCTCAAGTAATATCTTTTTAATCTTCACAGTATCGAATATATTATCCTATTGTCACTGCTAGCTACGGAATCTATGGTCTCTACCATTTATGACCTGAAAAGGCCAATGCCTTTCGGTATCAACTTTGTTCTCTGACATGAAAGTTATTCTAGTATTGCCTGTTTCATTTTACATGACAACCTATGACTCTGCAGTCATATATCTCTTCACAAGAGCACTCTCTGGTGACAAAATAACACGAAGACAGGATTAAAGGTGACGGCAATGTCGTGAACCGTGATTCGTACAGACCTTTCCTTAATGGAATATTACTGACGATGTGGTGTGATGGAGTACTGGTCTTACCTGCTGTCTTCTGTATCTTCATTTGTTTTGCTTTCAGCACTATACATGTAAGGAACAGTCTCATTAATCAACCTGGGGCGCAGGAATAAGTCCAAACTAGAAGTGGATATATCCTTTCCGATGTGTCCGTTTGTAAGCTTCTGGTATTGCTATTGTAGAAGTAGTGGAGGCTTCACCATCGGGGCCGGTAGCCTTATTTGTCGGTGGAATCAGGACTATGTACAAACAGTGGATTCCCTGGAATTTTTCATTATCAAGGCTGCAGGCAAGTCATCCTATAGATTTTTACTAGTTTTACTATAAATGGGCATTCTATCGTTACGGTATCAACATCACACAGCATCAAACTTTCTTACATTTTGAAATATTGTCATGAAACAAAGTCTAGATATCATACCATTCTTATACTGTCATATATATGATGAAAACAAAAGCTGTGATCGATAAAAAAGTGATGTAATCCTGTATCACCCGTGAGCTCTACGTGTTCCATGTATGAGGATTGACGAAGATCCAGGACATCCATCTGACTAGTCAGTGTCACGGTGTCGGTAGAACCAGGTGACATGGGTGGCGCCTTCGGGCTAACCCTGCGGTTTTGTAAGTTTTACAAACTCAAAGGGATTGGTAACCAGACAACGTAACTCTTATATATATCTGACCACTGTTTTGATACTGGGTTTTCAAAAGTTTTATTCCGAGCAGCACAGTGATAAGCTTTTTATGATGATTAATATCTCGATCGAAGCTGTGTACTAAATATTACTTCCGTGCGTGTGCATTTGCAGCAGTGCATATATTGTCGAGACCACTTGAGGTATTTTCAATCTATCGCGGCGTGTCATAAGCTACAAATTACTGCATCTTCAGTATTCAATACCAGTACTCGGTAGAGATTAAGACTCCCCTGTGGTGACCGTGTGCTCTAATTGTACTTTTGCAACTTTAAGTCAAGATGTGAATGAGATGGCGAACAAAACTGATACGCAAGGACTGATTTTGTAAATGCCATTACTACTGTTATATCGTATTGCAGACACCAACAGCCCATCAAAACTGTATATCTGTCTCCAAAGCCCAAATAATAAGTCCGACGGCCGATCTCTACCACTACAGACAAGTATTCACCAACATATGACATCAACGCTAGTAACTCGCTGGAAAACCTTTGGTATTTGTGTAGGATGTGGCGAGTTCACCACATCTCTTTCTCTATATCTTACATTAATACAACATATACTTGCACCGATATGTCACACCAACGCCAGATAAAAAGTAAGTCACTAGAAACCTTTGGTATTTGTGTAGGATGTGGCGAGTTCACCCCATCTCTTTCTCTATATCTTACACTAATACAATATATACTTGCACCAATATATCATACCAACGCTAGATAAAAAGTAAGTCACTAGAAACCTTTGGTATTTATGTAGGATGTGGCGAGTTCGCTGCATCTTCAGATCTATCTCTTACGTAACCGACAAGAACTCACACCAATATATTACACTGGCAACGCTAGATAAACAGTAACTCACTAGAAACCTTTGGTATTTATGTAGGATGTGGCGAGTTCGATGCATCTTCAGATCTATCTCTTACATAACCGACAAGAACTCACACCAATATATTACACCTACGCTAGATAAAAAGTAAGTCACTAGAAACCTTTGGTATTTATGTAGGATGTGGCGAGTTCGCTGCATCTTCAGATCTATCTCTGACACTAGAGACAAGAACACCTAAATATTACACCAACGCCAAATAAATAGGAGCTTGCTATGGACCTTTGATATTTGCATAGGTTATAGCGAGTTTACTCGTGATAATATATCGGTCATATGTTAAAGGTTACTATCCTTCAGAAGTTGACATAAGTAGGTCATCTATTCATGCTGACGATTGTGTCTGAA